TCAAACAACTAAACAAAGAAACACATGGGCAAAAGGACCCAAAAATCCACCTGTTATTCACCAACCAATTCAACACATAAACACAACCCAGTCCAACGAAACAGTCAAGAAAACAAGTCAAAGAATAAAACAACCAACCTAAGAACAGAAAAAATCAAACAACTAACCAACCAGTCAATAAATAAATCAAACAGCCAACCACACAACCAATTAGACAATGAACAGAACAACCAACCAATCAATGAATCCAGCACCAACTAAGCGACCAACCAAAAAATCAAGGAATAAACAAACCACTCAATCAACCAATCAACAGATTAACCAATCAATAAATCAGCCGACCTAGAGAAAGTAACTTGTACACAAATAGAACCTTACTGGCCAAGACATGACCTCAAACAAGTGCATTAGTGGGCAAAACCCTCCACCACAAAAAGGCAAAGAAGAAACAAATCAGTATGTATGTACATATAAATACGTCTCACTCAAATCTAAAGCATAGAGTACAATGCTAATGGGAAGGACATACGAGATGGATCCTGCTTGAGTGTGTACGCAACATTTCAACAGGGGCAGGGAAAGAAACACAGGCAGCTCCGAGGAAAGCAGAGGCGAACAAAGATAAATGAGGGTAAGATAAAGTGAGGTAAACATTTACAGTCAGGATGGAGCTAGGAGAGCACGACTCCAGTGTAGACATGGATGTCTTGTTTATAAAGCCGTTTATCACACATCGTCTTGGCACCTCGTCGGAGATGAGAAGCGGGGGCGGGGGGGGGGGGGGGGGTTGTGTGTGTGTGTGTGTGCGTGTATGTGTGTGTGTGTGTGTGTGAGAGAGAGAGAGAGAGAATGAGAGAGAGAGAGAGAGAAGATACAGGGTAGATAATGTGTAAAGGAGGGAACGAAAGGAAAAAAAAAAAAAAGAGAGAGAGAGAGAGAGAGAGAGAGAGAGAGAGAGAGAGAGAGAGAGAGAGAGAGAGAAGGTTAGTTGAGAGAGGGAAAGAGTCAGAGTGTGGGAGACAGATAGAGCCAGGAGAGGACAGTGAGAAAGGCAGACAGGCGAAGGGACCTTGAGTGGAAAGACTAACATCGAGAGTAATAGATAGATAGAGAGAGAGAATGAGAGTAAGAGAAGGATGCAGATAGAGACAGATAGCCAAAGAGTGGGAGAGTGTAAAATATATAACGTGGGTAAGAACGATAGTAAGAGAGAGATGCATAGAAAGACAGGCAGAATTAACAATGACTAAACGGAAATTTTTACGAAAGTTAAGCATTATAATCAACTATCACTGTGGTGTACAAGTCAACTGGGCGTACAAGTCGACTTGGCGTACAAGTGGACCTAGAGTACAAGTGGACCTAGCGTACAAGTCGACCTGGCGTACAAGTCGACCTGGCGTATAGGTCGACAGCAAGATGTTGAGCTCAAAATTCTGAGTAAGACCTATAACTGTCGAATAAGTCGACTCCCAAATACACAGTTGGCCCCAAACTTTGGTGTACCTGTAAATATGCCAAATTTGTTTAACCAAACACATTCTCGGGGGGGGGGGGGGGGGGATACATTCCTGCCGGCCGGCCGGAGGTACAGTAAGTTTCTCTCTCTCTCTCTCTCTCTCTCTCTCTCTCTCTCTCTCTTTGCTCCACCAGGACATCACACAAGCGATAAACACCGGGTGACACAAAGTACCACCATGCTGATGAGGATCACCCGTGAAGAGGTCCCTAAAACCCCTTTCAGCCGTTATAGCCAAATGTATGGCCCGGCTATATTCAGGGCCCCCCGACAAAAGCCAGGGTAGGGCTTCAAATAACACAAAATGACATCCTACGAGGGGGACGACAGATAGTTGATATGGTAAGTAATGTACATTGATTGTTATGAGTGCTGTCCCACTTATTTTTAACTTGGTGGTGACAGTTTGCATGTGATCCCCCCAAAAAATAGTAAAAGTAAAGCATCCTTTCCAACGCCTTGAGGTGTATTAGGCATATAGGGCTATACTTTTATTTTATAGAAAAATCGGCTCTGGGTGGGTGATGAGTACAACATCACGATTGCCGCCTTTACTTCACATGACTTCATCTGGTACCAGTTTAAGGCTGGGTCCACCTGGTAGCCAAAGTCAAGAGTCCGTCAGCATCCAAACCCAAAACCTTCCGATTCACAGTCCCGCGTATAGCCGCTTCATCACAGTGGCGCACTTGCATTTCACGCTCATCATGCACGTTGACCCCTAGTTTTAAAGGGGAAAAAAAGGGGGGGGGGGGCAATAAAAATGTTCTTAACGATATAGGAACAGTCAGTGATCCTAACAGAAATAATAAGCATGTGACCCAGAGAACGTTCTCTGCAACTACAACAGGTACTCACTGATAGGATGTCGCTGCCTGAACTCGGCACACTTGGGTATGTCACACAGCTCCTTAGACACGGCGGTGAAACACCAGGGACCTTTTTCTAGATTGCCGGGGTTGCGACAATAATTGTGACTTCCTGCAACATGACCAGGGTGTACAGTGTGTTAGGTTCCTAGTATAGAACGACATAGTGTAGTAGTAGTAGTAGTAGTAGCAGCAGCAGCAGCAGGAGTAGTAGTAGTAGTAACAGTAGTAGTAGCAGCAGCAGTAGTAGCAGCAGCAGCAGTAGTAGTAGTAGCAGTAGTAGTAGTAGTAGCAGCAGCAGCAGGAGTAGTAGTAGTAATAGTAGTAGCATTAGTAGTAGCAGCAGCAGCAGCAGTAGTAGTAGTAGTAGTAGTAGTAGTAGTAGTAGTAGTAGTAGTAGTAGTAGTAGTAGTAGTAGCAGCAGCAGCAGCAGCAGCAGTAGTAGTAGTTGTAGCAGCAGGAGTAGTAGTATTAGTAGTAGTAGTAGTAGTAGTAGTAGCGGTAGTAGTAGTAATAGTAGTAGCAGCAGTAGTAGTAGCAGCAGCAGTAGTAGTAGCAGCAGCAGGAGTAGTATTTGTAGTAGCAGTAGTAGTTAGTAGTAGTAGTCATCACTGTGGTTGTGATGGTGTTAGTAGTAGCTGTGTTGTTTTAACAGTAGTAAACAGTATTACTAGCAGTAGTGAAAGTAGAACATAATCGTAGTACAAGCGGAAGCAGAACATAATCATAGTACAAGCGGAAGTAGAACATAATCATAGTACAAGCGGAAGTAGAACATAATCATTGTACAAGCGGAAGTAGAACATAATCATAGTACAAGCGGCAACAGTCAAACTAGCATTATTATCAACAGTTCTGTAGTAAGGAAACCAGTAGTTATCATACAGTGTTATCAGTTATAATACACATAACAATACCAGGAGATCGTGAGCTGAAATGCCACAGAAAGACTTTCAGAAAACTATAGACGAACAAGAGGAGAAACATTGACATTACAAACGATCTGAACAGGAAGGAAGATTGGCTAGTAGAAAGTTTCTTGGTTTGGAAGCTGAAATTATGTGGCGATATCAAGTGCTGTGGCGAAGTAGAAAGAATAATGGCAGAAGGCACGGTACCAGGAAAGAGGGTCAGGGGCCGACCAGCATAAAGATGAGCAAAGGGTAAAAGTGACACCATGGATAGAAAATAGCAGGAGGCCGGAGATCAGGCAGACTGTAATGAGAGCGACGTTCTGCACAGGACCTTGTACATGATGGCGAGCAAAAGCAGTAATATTCACAATGTATTACTAGTAGCAGTAGTTTGACTTTTAATGGTAGTAGTTGTTGTTATAACAGTAGCGGTTTAGTAGAGGCAATCATTATTTTGTGCCGACATACGACACATACTTTATCATTGTCCTGACATACCACACATATTTTATCCTTGTCCTGACATACCACACATATTTTATCCTTGTCCTGACATACCACACATATTTTATCCTTGTCCTGACATACCACACATATTTTATCCTTGTCCTGGCATACCACACATACTTTATCCTTGTCCTGACATACCACACATATTTTATCCTTGTCCTGACATACCACACATATTTTATCCTTGTCCTGACATACCACATATTTTATCCTTGTCCTGACATACTACAGATATTTTATCCTTGTCCTGACATACTACATATATTTGATCCTTGTCCTGACATACTACAGATATTTTATCCTTGTCCTGACATACCACACATATTTTATCCTTGTCCAAACATACCACATATATTTTATCCTTGTCCTGACATACTACAGATATTTTATCCTTGTCCTGACATACTACAGATATTTTATCCTTGTCCTGACATACTACAGATATTTTATCCTTGTCCTGACATACCACATATATTTTATCCTTGTCCTGACATACTACAGATATTTTATCCTTGTCCTGACATACCACATATATTTTATCCTTGTGCCGACATACGACACATACTTTATTCTCTCCTTTTGTTATATCCTTCGCCATTGTTTCAAATCATGGATGAAATCAAATATGGCGCACCTGTGTTATTTCTCCTTGACGTGTGTCTTAATGTTCCGTTTAAACTACTTCGTTTCATTCAGTCTGTTTCCTATTGACGTGCTGTTTAGTGACTCTCGGTGTGTTTCTTCTCATGATGTGCCATCTTCTTTTTCTGACCCTTGTTAACATAAGTGGTTATCCACGTATTTCTCTTACTGCCGCCCCTTCCTTGAATTCACCCCATGTAATGATTACCAACTTTTTTAAAATAATGATTACCAAATTTATGTGGCTACTGTTGTTAAATGCATTTTACTTTCGTTCCATGTCTTTGGTGGTTTTCCAACTTTCACTGGTATTTGCAGTAGTAACAGTGTTAGTAGTGTAGGCAACAATTTTAGTAATAGTGTTAGTAGTGTAGGCAACAATATTAGTAATAGTGAGATTAGCATTAATAGTAATGCACAATAATAAGTAGCAGTATTAATAGCAGCAGTAGTACCAGCACCACCATCAACATCAGCATTGGTAGTAACTTCTGCTTCTGCTGCTTCTTCTTCTTCTTCTTCTTCTTCTTCTTCTTCTTCTTCTTCTTCTTCTTCTACTACTACTACTACTACTACTACTACTACTACTACTACTACTACTACTACTACAACTACTACTACTACTACTACTACTACTACTACTACTACTACTACTACTACTACTACTACTACTACTACTACTACTACTACTACTACGCGTTCATCAACTGTACAAAAGTCCAGTTTTTGGTCCACTTCTGGACTTTGATCTTATTCCAGAACTCTATTGTTGGTGCACATCTGTTTTACACATATATCGGCTATCTATATGCAGACTGCTAGTCACTCGCCTTTCAAGTAGATGCAAAGGGCGGTCTTCAAATGAGGACCCCCCCCCCCCCCCCCCCCCCCCCACGGTCCGGAACACACTCAAATAATAACCAGCCATATGATGATTTTAATAATGAAAATGGCAAATAATAATGATTCTGATGATAACAGTGAAGATGTTAATAATACACTAATGAAAATAATGATAATGATTAGGATGATAACACCAATGACGATGATAAACTGTTACTGACAGACTGACTGACCTAGGTCAGCAACCGCTGCGTCTGACCACTTCAGACACGTCTGTCCGGACCTGGTCTTGCTGACGTCCCCGGAATATCGGGATCCCGAACCGGTGTAGCAGTCCGTCTCTGTGGAAACAAACAAAGATTTTACATTGACAAGCCCAAGGGTATACAATAACATTCGTACAATTACACATGTTGTGCTGAAATAAATGTCAGGGTCAGCAGTGAAAACACACAGAAAACATTAGGGTGTGGGTGGGGAAATTCAGCAATTTTATATATTTTCTGAAGGAAACAAGTATGGAATGGGGAAGGGGGGGGGGGGGAGTTGGAGATTAAAATGGACCACGCCTTGTTTAAGTGCTCAATAATAATAATAATAACAACATGTGGAATGGTAAATAAATAAAACAATATAAACGCAAAGGTAAAAATAGACACAATCTCTTCATGGTTGGGTTTCCCTTCTGACATGCACACACACACACACACACACGCACACACACACAGACAAGCACTGCATCAATGCATTTGGGAAGAAGCACGGACAGAGCAGATGTCATCAGCGATGTGTCCACCGGGCTGGTGGATAATGACGAATCTCTGACACTAACGCGATTGCATGAAATGGGAGTAAAGCGGGGTGAAGCACGGCTGTGCCGCCGTCGAGGCTCAGGTAAGAGACTGTATAACCAGCAAGTCATGGGAACGATCAGTGGAAAGACCTTTGAATGGCGGCTGCATTAGAAGACTGAGCATGCAAATAAACGTCCAATGTGCAATGACGTCGATTGCGATAACATATCATAACATACACACGAACACCCACACCCACGCACACACATATATTACTGATTTAAGAATTGATATCATAGCACACCGTAGAACCAATGGGTGCTCTGTCTCTCGCAGCAAATGTCTTAAGATGTAATGCTGACTGTTTCCTTTAAACATTGATTATACACAAGTCGTTCTCTCCGTCTCATTCGTCCCTCCTCGCCGGACCCATACGTAATTCTTCGTTCATCCATTCTTCGTGTGTGTATGTGTGTAAATGTGTGCACGTGCATGCGAGTGCATTTAAGTAGAGGCAGAAAATGTTGACACAAGGACATCTTTGACCACTTGAACTCACCCTTGTCGTCAGCGCTGGCAACATAACCGTCATCATTTCTCCCATGCTCCCTGCCCGATGCTACGTTCCGACCTCCCACACTACCCCGCCCTTGGCCGAAGCTGGACCCGCTTAGACCCAGCCGGATACAGTTGTCACCTTCTGGAGTCCCTGCCGGTTTCAGCTGACTGCACTTGGGAAGCAGATCATCACCTGAGAGAAAGATAATCGATATCGATCACTGTCAATATCAATAAATTATTTATGTAAAGTTACGTAAGGGGCGACCAGTTGTAGTGTCATGCAAGAACTGGGCTGCCTGGTTTCATAGAAAGAGGTTGTTTCGTTCTCTCCGCCAACTTTTTTCAGATAAGAATGCCAGAGGCTTCTGTAAGGGTTGTGGTACGACGCACATTCTTCCCTAATCCACACAGATTGCTCTCTTCCTGGATGTTACCAGATCAGACCTGGGATCTGTCTAGTGCAGTGCGATTCGTCACGAACATCATTATAACGAAATCTTCTCCTTCCACTTCATCACCAACATAATAATCATAGATGTTAACATCATTCTCCACCAAAATCAAGAGCATACTTGGGAACATTGAAACTGGCATGCGACGCGTAAGGTGGGTTGCATCCCTTGATAAGTCTCAGATCAGAAGACTAGCATGAATTGTCTGCCCATGAAATTCCAGTCTCAGGTGAAATAATTAGGCTTATAGATTGGCGGCTGTTACTCCTCTGGGAGGTAGCCTATTGTATGATGAAGCGGATGCAATGAGGGATCCCTGGGATCAAACAGACAGCAACGGAACAGAGTATCCATACACTGAAACAATAATTCAACGAAAAAAAAAAAAGAGGGAGG